CTTTCTTTCCTTCCTTCCTTCCTTCCTTCCTTTATTTTCTTTCTTTCTTTCTTTCTTTCTTTCTTTCTTTCTTTCTTTCTTTCTTTCTTTCTTTCTTTCTTTTCTTTCTTTTCTTTCTTTTCTTTCTTTTCTTTCTTTTCTTTCTTTTCTTTTTTTCTTTCTTTTTTCTTCTTCTTTCTTTCTTCTCTGTTTTTCTTTCTTCTTTCTTTCTTCCTTCTTCTTTCTTTCTTTCTTTCTTTCTTTCTTTCTTTCTTTCTTTCTTTCTTTCTTTCTTTCTTTCTTTCTTTCTTTCTTTCTTTCTTTCTTTCTTTCTTTCTTTCTTTCTTTCTTTCTTTCTTTCCTCTTTCTCCCTTTCGCTCTTTCTCTCTTTCGCTCTTCCTCTCTTTCGCTCTTTCTCTGTCTCTCTGTTTCGCTCGTTCTCTCTTTTTTTCTCTTTTGCTCTTTCTTTTTTGATCCTTTTCGCTCCTTCTCTCTTTTTCTCTCCGTCTCTCCTTCTCCCTTTCTGTCTTTCTGTCTTTCTCTCTTTGTCTCTTTGTCTCATTCTCTCTCTCTCTCTCTTTCTTGCGCTCTTTCTCTCTTTCTCTCTTTCTCTCTTTGGCTCTTTCTTTTTTTCTCTCTTTCGCTCTTTCTCTCTTTCTCCCTTTCGCTCTTTCTCTCTGTCTTGCTTTCTTTCTTTCTTGCTTTCTTTCTTTCTTTCTTTCTTTCTTTCTTTCTTTCTTTCGTTCCCTCTTGTCTTTGCTCTTTCTCTCTTTCTCCCTTTCTCTCTTCCGTTCTTTCTCTTTTTCGCTCTTTCTCTCTTTCTCTCTTTGGCTCTTTTCCTCTTTCTCTCTTTCGCGCTCTTTCTCTCTCTGTCTCTTTCGCTCTTTCTCTCTTTCTCTCTTTCGCTCTTTCTCTCTTCTCTGATTCGCTCTTTCTCTCTTTCTCTCTTTCGCTCTTTCGCTCTTTCCCTTCTTTTTTCTTTCGCTCTTTTCTCTTTTGCTTCTTCTCTCTTTCTCTCTTTCTCTCTTTCGCTCTCTCTCTCTCTTTGTTTCTTTTTCTCTTTCTCTCTTTGGCTCTTTCTCTATGTCGTTCTTTCTCTCTTTCTTTCTTTCTTTCTTTCTTTCTTTATTTCTTTCTTTCTTTATTTCTTTCTTTCTTTCTTTCTTTCTTTCTTTCCTTTCTTTCTTTCTTTCTTTCTTTCTTTCTTTCTTTCTTTCTTTCTTTCTTTCTTTCTTTAGTTCTTTCTTTTTTCTTTCTTTTTGTCCTTTCTTTATTTCTTTCTTTCCTTCCTTCCTTCTTTCTTTCTTTCTTTCCTTCTTTCTTTGTTTCTTTCTTTCTTTCCTTCCTTCCTTCCTTCCTTCCTTCCTTCCTTCCTTCCTTCCTTCCTTCCTTCTTTCTCTCTTTCTTTCTTTCCTTCCTTCCTTCTTTCCTTCCTTCCTTCCTTCCTTCCTTCCTTCCTTCCTTCTTTCTTTCTTTCTTTCTTTCTTTCTCTCTTTGTTTCCTTCCTTCCTTCCTTCCTTCCTTCCTTCTTTCCTTCCTTCCTTCCTTCCTTCCTTCCTTCCTTCCGGCTTCCTTCCTTCCTTCCTTCCTTCCTTCCTTCCTTCCTTCCTTCCTTCCTTCCTTCCTTCCTTCCTTCCTTCTTTCTCTCTTTCTTTCCTTCCTTCCTTCCTTCCTTCCTTCCTTCCTTCCTTCCTTCCTTCCCTCTTTCTTTCTTTCTTTCTTTCTTTCTTTCTTTCTTTCTTTCTTTCCTTCCTTCCTTCCTTCCTTCCTTCCTTTCTTTCTTCCTTCCTTTCTTTCTTTCTTTCTTTCTTTCTTTCTTTCTTTCTTTCTTTCTTTCTTTCTTTCTTTCTTTCTTTCTTTCTTTCTTTCTTTCTTTCTTTCTTTCTTTCTTTCTTTCTTTCTTTCTTTCTTTCTTTCTTTCTTTCTTTCTTTCTTTCTTTCTTTCTTTCTTTCTTTCTTTCTTTCTTTCTTTCTTTCTTTCTTTCTTTCTTTCTTTCTTTCTTTCTCTCTCTCTCTCTCTCTCTCTTCTGTTTCTTTCTCTCTTTCGCTCTTTCCCTCTATTTTTCTTTCGCTCTCTCTCTCTCTCTTCGCTCGTTTGATTCTGGCGTGACTGCCCACAGTGGCAAGGGAAGGCACCAAGTCGAGAATGGAACGCAGGTGCTCCACCCAGGCTACGCGATGCTACGCGCACAAGACGCATCCCTGAGCACCGAACCGAATCGAACCGATCGAAAGGATGCAACAATCGAACCGTTCGGTTCGGGCCTGGCCTTTATCACTGCTCAGCAAACTGACACTCAATGGATCTACATCATTCATTTCTCGATTGAGTTGCGCTCCGTCTGTCATACACGCTAAGTCCTGAAAATGTGTTGCTTAAACCTTTGCGGCGCAGTAATACTTGCGGGGAGCAGTACCGCGAACAGGGACTGATCTGTCCTGAAACAGCTGACGGTATGTCTCTCGCCACTTGGTGGCAGCCTGACATGAGGGCCAGTTAAGTGGCACAAGCAATGATCTTCCATGGCCAGTAAACCGAGGAACGACAATGGTAGCTTTCGTTCGTGCGCGGAGATTCCGAAGGCCCAGTCGCGGCAGGAAGCACAAACTCATTCGCAGTACCAATAGCCGGCCATCACCATCGTGGCGGGCCAGCTTACAAATGCTGCGTGTGCTTGAACAAATGGAACACCTTGGCATGCATTTTGTTAATGAATAAATGAAGCAAAACGTTTGGTTACTGTCACCATGCAGTCCCGTAGTCTCGCATTCAGCAGGCTTGGGAGCCACGACCTTCCAACAATTACGTGCAATGCCCGCTTCCACACGAACAAACTCAAATCAAAGGTCTGCTCTTGTTTTTGTCTCATCGCTCCGCCATGCCCAGCTGAATCCTGCCAATGACAGCAGCTTTCTGGCGGTCCTGCATTGCAAATGCTGCTGTACCTGCTGACCTGGAGCGCATAAGCCCTGTCCTGAGAAAAGTAAGCCTTGTGTTCCTCCAGTAACGGCGCAACTTTCCAAGGCAGCGCCCAACCTGAGCAGCTTTGCAGTTTCCGCAGTGTTCCTTTCGGTCATCTTTAACCAACTGCCAACTTGCTCAAGCAGCCCAAGAACTGGCCCAGCGGTGCCTAACCGTGCCCCGGCGCTGACACCCAACGAATGAAAGCATCAGCCCGCACATGGCAGCACAGCAGGCCTGATCAGCAGCAGCCACAGACACTTATAAAACCGAAACTCACCTAAGATAAAATCAAGAATATTGCAAAGCAGATCATCTCCTTCTCCAGCTCCAGATTTAGATGAGACAGTGCATTGGAGCCAGGTAGCAATTACTTCTCTAATGTTATCAAAAAAAAACTTGCTAATGATATTGTATGAAGTAATATCAAAGCTCAGCCCTGCATGAGTGCGCGACATGCTCAGCAAACTTCTCCTGCGCGTTGGAGAGCTGACCTTCTTCACGCCTCATTGCGGCTTTGTCGAGGCTGTAGACTCTTGTAGAATTCAGAAGGCTCATGCTGCGCAAAAAGTGCTTGAGCCTTTCGGGGTGCTTGGCAAGTCAAGATTTGATGGCCTTGGGCCGAAGAACAACCATGGCGGGATTTTCAGCATGTTCCGCAGATCTTTAAGGCCTTGGCATAGCAACATGTTGTTGCACTGCTCTGATTGGACATGTCAACCTAAATGTTTGGGTTGGGGGGTGGGTGTAGGGTTTTTTGCGGGTCAATGTACGGAACAAGCCGAGGGCAGACAAGATCTGGATCCAATCAATGCAGCTTGTTGGAGGCCAGGTAAAGGAGAACTCAGAGACCGCCTTCCAACTCTCGGCTTGAACAACTCTGCGTGTACAGCTTGCACCTGAAGCATCCGCGCAAAGCCCAAGGCCTAGACCCAGAAAACTTCCAGTTCAGGCGTGGCCAAACACATCCACGCACCTCCCAACCCACCGACCTACCAACTCACCAAACCCCATGGCATCCAAATGTCATGTGGCCCCGGCAATTCAGCACCCGCACCACCACATCCATCAGATTCGCCATCCAGGGCATCCGGTGCGTCTGGATCATCTTGCCCGGCAGTGCCAGCAGCCTCAATGTGCCCCCTTCAAACACTTTTCAAACACTGGAACGAAATGGAATCAATGGGCTGACCCGGCCTCGGCTTGCAACTTATGCTCCTGCCATTGCTTGGCTTGCCTCCCGCTTACACTTACATGCCTGCAGTCCTACGACGACCGGCTTGAGTTACAACTTGTCAGCAGCTTTGCGCACCCAGCTGCACACTTGTCAAGATTCACGTGGGCCGCAAAAGGAAGCAGGGTTGGGAGGGCCATTGTAAGATAAATCTCCTTTCGCAAGAGGCCCTTGCAGTTCTCCAAGCAGCCTCGGATGTCAGCACCTCAGTGCCAATGATTCGCACATGTTGACGTTTGGTGGGCTGGGGTGCGAATGGATAGCGCTGGGCTGCGCGCTCGTTGGCATGATGCGAGCAGCTTCGCGTAGGTCGTCCAGCGCCCGGCCCAAGTCTCGCTCAGGGCCTGAACAGCCAACCCATGAACACCTGGGAAAAGAATGAAAAATGAGCCATTACATGCCAGGTAGAGTTCCAAGAACTCAAATACAATGAGGCAAATTGCATTTGCTTTCGTGTCTGCATGTTTTTGTGTTGCTACTTCTGGGCCTGGCTCTCCTCGAGCAAGCGCTCTTCGAAAGCGCAACTTTGCTTCAAACCTTCGGCGTGCTCCGCGAAGCGATTTGCAACACAAATGGTTGAGAAGATTCTGCGGCCGACGTGTTGAGGCGACGACTTATTTGCATCTTCCAGCGATGTTTTGCCCAAGTGGCGAAGGCCCAATGTCGCTGCCTGTCTTTGGACATGTGGCATCTAACAATTACACCACTTGTAAAAAGGGTTGCGTGGCATTGGTGCATGCAGCCGTCACACCTTGATGGCATTGCGCCAGTCACCCCGTTTGAGAAAGACTTGGGCAAGGTTGCTGACGATGGGCAGCAACATGTTGGCAACTGCAAGCCTGCCAGCGCAAGTGCAAATATCCGTGACAACTGTCGGTTGCTGCATGATAAAAGATCATCGCGCCTTTGGCCATCATCCATGTCCAACTGCTCTTGCGGCGTGAAGTCCACTGAATGAAGTGCCTTCATCACACACTCTCATGTCTGATCCCTGTCAATGAAAGTGTAATAAGTTGCTAACCCCCAGGTTGCAATGAAGAGCTCGACGGTAATCATCCCTGCCATACCTTGGACAAGCCCAAACGCAGAATTGCCTACTTTTGCCCTGCATAAAGTCATGCAGCGCGTGTTTATCTGCTAATAGGCAATTGCAGCGGGGCGCTCCGCAAAACAGCGACAAACGCCACGCTGCGACGCAGGTGCAGCGCCCGGCGGGATGCTATGCAAACACAACTGTTGCGCTGCTGGCTTGTTGTCCCGGAACGCGTCACGAGCTATTTTTCAGGGTGGCCCAGTGACACATTTGTTTCTTGGCACAGCCACAAACCATTTCTTAGGATTTGACGTCCGTTGCATGCCAGGTTTGTCAGAAAAGCAGAACAGCCCACATGTTGCAGATTTTTTCTTCAGAATGACGAAAGGCAACGGCGCGATGCCCTAGGCAGCAATTTGCCGATCAAGTCGTTGCGGCCTCGACATTATGTTTGACTCTTACTTTGCCACGGGGGTGGCGAAAACAGGCTGCCGTGGCTGCGCAAATAGGCGGCCGTGGCCCTGCCCACTATTATGGTTAACCTCTGTTTTTGAAATCGTGGCTCTATGGGCGGGCGTGGTTTTGCCTGACAATCTAGTTTGCCACGAGGGTGGTGGAGACAGGCTGCCTGACAGGCGGCCGTGGCCCTGCCCGACAATATGGCTGCGTTGCTTCCATGGGGGCGACCCCTGCTTTTGCTTCGCGAGTTTTCGGCAGCACGGAACTAACTTTGCGTTGGCCTCGTCGTCGACGAGGACGCGCAGAACTTCTGCGGTGCACCCGGAAGGCCGGCCGCTACACCCCAGCGGCAGCCACGCACGTTCTGCAACAAGCATTCTGTTTTTGTTCACGCGCCATTTTTCAGCTGCAGGCGTCGATTCGAATCCCCCCAGAACCCGGCCCCCGAACACCAAGGGTAATCACACAAACGGCTGGTAACTAAGGCCAGGTCCGCACGGGAGGCGATTTAGGCATGCGCCGAAAGCCAGCTTGCGAGCACATCAAGCACCGGGCCAGTGCGGTCGGCGAGCACGTCACTGACGATGGGGTCCGGGCCATCAAGGCAAGACAGGCCGGCGACAGGGGCATTCAGGTCGCGCACAAGGGTGTTGGTTTTGACGCGTGCGCCAGCCTAAATCCGCGCAGCGGCACGCTCAAAACGGCAGTCGCGACTGCGCAAGGCACCTGACCGGGGGCAGGCTGCACGATGGCTGCCTAGGGGGTCGAGGGCGATCGCATCGGCAGCTGCGGGCGGTAAAGGGCAGAGGCAGGCGCAGGCGCCGCAACAGAAGCACGCGGAACAGCGCAGGGGAGTAGGCGAGCTCTGGGCAGCTCGGCACGCTGGTGAAGACTCGGCTGCTGCAAGGCCCAGTTTGCGAAAACAAGAGTGCCGCCGGGTCTGACTGGGCAAGGACCTTGCCTTGAAGCTGCCGGGAAGTAGCATCAGCGGGTAGGGCGCGGAGGTTGAGGCCAGCGTGGTTGAAAGCGTGCGGAGAAGGTGGGGGACCGGCGCCGGGCTGCAGGAGCGCCCGCCCACGAGGGAGCAGCAAACCCCGCCTCAACGAGTCGGGCCCGCGCAGGCAAGAGGGCAGAACAACTTCGGACCGGCACTGGGTTGGGCGCCTGCAGCAAACGCAGAATGGCAGCCGCCAAGTCGGGCAATTGGCTGTGTGTAGGACTGGCAGCACATCAGTTCAGGAACCCCAAAAACGCCGCGATGGAAAGGGACACGGCACTGCGCAAGCGGGGGCCGCCTTCATGGAAGGGCAACTGCGCAAGGCGGGCCGCAAGGCCAGGCAAAGGGGCCAACACCAAGGAGGTCGGACAGACAAGATAACACAGCCTCGTCGCGCGAGGCCCTGAAGGTCGCTGTCAAGCAAGGAGCTGCATGCGAAGGACGTGGCCGCAGCGAGGGCAAGCACAAAATAAAAGCAGCAGCCAGGCACACTGGAGGTTGGGGATGGTGCGGATGGCTTGCAACAAGGAGCCCTGCTTGGCACAGAGCTGGCGCAACTGAGCCGCAACATGCTCTGGGTCGCCCAGCGGCGCCCCCAACACGATACTGCGCTTGGCTGCTAGCAGGGAGGGTCGCCAAGCCACACTGGGTCGCTGCCGCTGCCGAATGCCCGAATGTGGGGAGGCTTCCGGCCAGGTTGCATTTGGCGCTGCGTGGCAACCAGCCACCGTGCTGCGCAAGCGCCAGCTCGCGTGGACAAACTGGAAGGGCGCGCAAGCTTCTTGGAGGGTAGTAGCAAAGAGCTGCGCGAAGGAACGGCCAACCAGGCGTATCAAAAAGTCACTGATCGAACCCGGCCGTTGGGATGCGGCCGAGGCCGAAAGCTGCTGCCACGGCAGGTGGGACTTCGGTTTGCGCCAGGGCCTGGGCGGCCCGGACAAAAAGCTGGCTGGTGCGTTCGTCGTCCAGGACAACACGGCAACACTCGGCAGTCAGACCAGAAGGCCCAGCACCAGCCAGCGCCTTTGCGGGCGCGCCGAGGGTTGGCGAGCAGCAAGCCGGGCGGCAGGCGGGCAGGGGACTCCAGCTGAAACTGGAGCAGGGCGGGGTCAATATCCCCGTAAGGCTCGGACGGCCGTCGCTCAGTGTCGCGAAGCTCGGCAAGGGCTGCCTCAGTGAGCGGGGCCAGCGGGCCGGCCACAAGGGCGGAGCTGACGGCCGACAGCTCCCCCAGGCGGACGCTCGGCGTTACCCCGGCCAAGTCGGCTTGGGCAAGAAAGGCGCGCCCAGCGGCCGGCATTGAAAGCGGAGACGCGGTCGCGCTACTCAGGTTTGCGAAGCACACGCTGGCAGCAAGAGCCAGAGAGCCCAGACAGAGCAACAGCGTCTTGTCCAGCATTTTCAATGGCCAACCCTGTCTTTGCCACGGGGGTGGCGGAGACAGCCGTGGCTCTGCCCGGTTGTTTTGAGGCACGCGTGGCACAGTCTCCTCAAGAAGAATCTCCGGGCACCAAGAATCCAGCTTCCTACTTGTGCGCTGTTGATGTACCGGAATTCAACAAGGACGTCGCTGACATCCGGCACAGACCCGCCGGGCAACTCGAGAAGGCTGCGAGCGAATGCACGGGCGGCAGCAAAGGAAAGCAGACCGCACGCGGAAGGCAGCGGCACAAAACGCCTGCTGCTCGTTTGGGACAGAGCGAGTTTTGGCCCTAGCACGGCTGGCGGAGGGCGGCGCCTTCAACCCGCCGCTGGTGGACGTGGGTGCCCGCTAAAGTCTAGGGCAAAAACAAAGGTGGTGTCAACTGCAAGCCGCAGGCCGCCCCAGAGCGGCAACCCGTTCGCAATTGTGGTTCGCCCTGTCTTTGCCACGGGGTGGCGGGAACGTGCGGACGTGGCCCACGTGCTTTGGGGGTGGCCGGAGCCTTTCCCGCGCGAGGCGCCGCGCCCGGCCTCTCGCCTCCCACAGGGCGAGGCCGCACGCTGCCGAAACCGAGCGGCCGATTCACTTTTTTTTCTCTCGCATGCGAATGTGAAAAGCCGCGGACAGGCCTAAGTGAAACGCGCTCTACAACCCCAGAAGCCCATCAGCCCTCGGAACCAGGCCGTTCCGCGGCGAGGCTTCTCAGCCGGGCCGCAGCGGCAGCCGGCTAACCGCCTCGGCCGCGCCATGGCGCGCGGCCGCTAGCACCTCGGGCAAGGGCGGCGCAGCTCCATCCAAGGCATCCTGGCCCGCGCTAGGCAGGCCAGCGAGGGTGGCGGCGAGGGCCCGCTGCGCCGCAACGGCAACAACGCCGGACCAGCGCTGGTGAAAGGCCTGCAACGCTGAGGCACGTAGCCACTGAGGCCGCTCCCTCGCTTTGGCACGGGCGAGGGCGCGGAGCAAATCCCGCGCCTCGCCGTTCCACCGGCCGCCGACCTCGATGCCGAAGACGACGGGCCGGCACCGCCGTGCCGTAAGCAGCTCCGGGTAAGTCGTCTCCCGTTTTCGCCTCGCCGCTTGCTCAAGCACAGCCCCAGCTTGTCTGGCACTGCTGCCTCTGGGCTGGCCATCCCTTCCGAGTGGGCTGACGAGATCCACCGCATGGCGGACAAAGCACGCCGTGGTGGGGCGGCCCGGTGGTCGCCGAGCGGGCCGAGCCGGTGCGTGGGCTGCGCGCATCGGTGATCGGGGGCCGACAGCGACACGCCTGGCAGGTCGCGCGATTCCAACGCCTCTTTTACCACTGCCGGAGGGTGACACGAACGAACCAGCTACGGAAGCCTAAGCTACGCGGCACCTCTGGAACCAGCGCACGTCGGCCAGCACGTCGCCGCGGGGAGCTCGAGCAGTGCGAAAGACCCGGCCGCAGCGTGGCGCTGGCTGGCCGGGCCGGCAGTGGCTTTTCCACGCGCCAAGCGGGCGAGGAATTCCTCAGTCTCTGCCAACCACCGCCCACCAACCTCTAGGCCAAGCACGGAAAACCGGCACCGGCTAGCAGCGGCGAGCTCCGGGTAGGTTGTCCGCCGCTTCTTTTTTTCAGCTTTGCGAAGGGCTTTGCCAGCCTCGACGTCAGTGCCGGGCCGGCTAGCTCCGTTCTGTTGCACGGGAGATACCAACGTGACATCAACGGCGACCTGGGTGCCGCCAACAGCCATGGCAGACCATTCGCGACGACCTCGATCAGGGGCCCATCGCTTAACGGCACATCGAGGTTGAGGTCGCGGAGGAAAACATCGGTCGCGACACGCGCCCCGGCCTCGCAGCATACGCGAGCCGCAGCACGCTCGAGGGGGAACGAGCGCCGCTTCAGCACTCCCTGTCTGTTTTTCCCCTCCTCCTTTGCGTCTACTTTCCAAGACGCTGCGGGCCTAGGGTGAAAAGCGCGCATCCGCCGGGACACCGAGCCGAGGCGCCGAGTGAGGCGCTCAGCTACGAAGAGGGAGAAGGCTGGGCCCGGAAGGGCCGGCCAAAGCAAGGCGTCGGGCTCGGCGGGCGGCCCGCAGCAAGTAGTTGCTGCGTGGACGCGCGCAGAGACAGAAGGATGAGCCATGCACTTTTTGAAGGTGGGGCGGCGCAAAACGTGCCCAACTCGCTGAGCTCTTGTTGGCCTGTGAGCAGCAGCAAGCTGGGCTCCGCGTCGCGCAGGACATTTGCACGTCCCCACAAAGCGATGCCCAAAGCATCAAAAGCCAGTGCGATCAGCGCCGCTGGGTGTGCCCGAGGGCATGAGCGGGTCTCCCTGCTCGCCCCCTTCGGCTTGCGTGATGTCGTGCGCGACCCCCTCATCAGGATACGGACTGAGCTAGGAACGGCCGGAGAGCAGTCAGGCGAGGATTGCACCGCCAGCCATCAACGTAGTGGTGCACGTGCCTAACTCACAGGCAAAGGCTGCACCGCCCGGGCGAGTCGCCTGCCCAGCCCCGAGGCGCGTAGCGGGGAAAGCGCGCAAGTGCGCCTGAACGCGCTCCGCCATCCGGCCCCTGCCGTCCGGCCCAAGCGCGCGCCCGCGGCGTTCGCGAGCTTTTACACGAATTAACTCTGCGCTGGCCTTCTCGTCGGAAAGGACTCACTTCTGTGGTACGTGTGGGGCAGCCACGCGCGCTCTGCAAAAAAACATTTCCGGCACAAGGCGAGCGGGACCTGCCGCTGTGCCATTCAGGATCACCCCCGTCTTTGCTGGGGTGGGGGAGACAGGCAGCCGTGGCTCTGCTTGCCATTGTGGTTCACCCTTATCTTTCCCATAAGGAAAGTCAGCAGCCGTATGGCCCTGACATCCGACCTGTCTTTGGCGTGGCAAAAACGCAGCCATAATGTCGGGCCACGGCCGCCTGCCTCCACCACCCCCGTGGCGAAAAACCGAGGGCGGGCACGACAGACAAAAGCAACGCAAGGATGCGTTCCGCCGTCGCAGCACGACACAAAACACCTGCGCGCCGTGCGGCCTGCGCAGCGCAGAGACGACAGCCCGTGCACGGGGACATCCGGATTCACGTGAGTCAGGAAAACTCTGTTAGTTGTTCTGCGAGACGTGGCCGCCCGCCTCGCGACAGACTCGCACGAGGGCGCCTTCAAAAAGGCACCGCACGAGCTGCAACACGGCAAGCAGCCATGTGATCCTGTGATCCCCGACGCCCAGCAAATGGCAGTGCTCTGGACCCGTGGGCCACAGGCGTGGTAAAGAGGATTGCGAAAAGCCCGGCTCGAAGGCAGGTCTCACACCCGGCGCTGTCAATGGAAGCGGCCACCATTTATTGCCACGATCGCCTGAAAACTACTTGCTGCAGAACGTGCCGCCTGCCAGCACAGTCCAATATGCTACGCCAGCACGATGCTGCCGTTGGCGGACGGCCGGTGGAGCAGCTGCCATCCGCCCAAAATGGAGCAGCTGTTGGGCAGCCTGCGGGCCGGGCACTTGCGAGATCTCTCATGACCAAGCCCCCAACTCTGCCAATCGAGCACGGGCCCCCACAGGTGCCCAGGCCTTTCCCAGCATGGCCCGCAACTCGGACAAGGCCTGGTTGGCCACTTTGCGGTGGCAACCACCTGGAGCCGCCTGGAACTAGTGATCACCCGTGTCGACCTCTGCAGTCACCTGCTGGCAAGGAGCCGCGTTGCCACAACTCTTGCGCGCACTGGCGCTGGTCCATCACGCCAGCTGCAGCGTGCAGCGGCACATAAGCCCATGGCTGCCTGCAATGCCGCTGCCGACGGCGAGCAAAACCACCAGTGCTAGTTGGCGGAGCAACCGCACGCTGCCTTGGTGTCAGCGGCGCACAGGCATCGCCAACGTTGCTGCCAGCCAGCATCACAACGACGGCCTGCGGCACAAAGCCAGAGGCGGCGGACAGTTAGTGAGATGAGATGATCAACGTGTCGCTACGGGATCGTAGCGGCGGCTGTAGCAAACCATTTTCCATCCACCACCTTCAGAAGCAACTCGCGCAATCGGCGTGGTTGGAAGAGCCCACCCTGAGCGTCGAGCGAGCTTCCATTGAATCAGGTCCGCCGCATTCATCCACCCCGTGGTTTGAGAAAAGGAACCAACCTTGGCAAGGCTTTGGGGGCCAACTCCCACAACCCGAACGCCGACAAGCACGCAAAACAAGCGCGCACGTTTTCGCGTGGGCGCAAGGGGAAGGAATCGCGCTGCGAGAAACACTGCAGCTGCACAGGGCGCTGCGGCCTTGGAGCACCTGGCCGCCCCAACGCCCGAAGACTGACTGCGCGCCACGCCCGCTTGCTTCCTCGCGACTGCGCTGCGCGTGAGTCGTTTGGTGAAAACGGCAAGCCCGTCGATGGCTGCTGTCTCCGCGACCCGTGCTTGAGTTTGCGGTCTTGCCAGTGTCTGCCCCTAGGTGGGGAAGACAACAACGCCAGCGTTCGCGAGTTGCTGTTTGGCAATCGTGCGCCCCAAAAAGCCGATTGTCGCAGCACTGTTTCGGCAGCATCGGCAAGACCGCCGCCAACAGTGCACGTGGGTGGTGCAGCGGTGCGACGGCACCAGGCCCAAGAGCAAGCCCCCATGCCCCAACGACACCAAGCTCTGCCGGCAAGCTGGACACAGGGGAGCCGAAAAGACCAGGGCAGAGGAAGCTGCCGAGTATGCGTAGAAGCAGCTAGAGCGAAGAGGCAGGCTCCGACAGCTGGGAATTCAACTCAACTGCTGCAGCAGAGAAAGAACGATGAAGTAAATCAGCCGCAAATACAAGCTTATACAAGTTTCTTCCTACTCTGAGTCTGTCTTGTTCAATTTCGTTCAGGTTTCATTCAAATAGCGAGAATCTGTGATTGACGCATGGTCACGAGAATGCACGGAAGCCAGTTGAGCGTTACCTCTCTTGGTTGTTGGTCTGGACGTACATCTTTCTGTCTGCAGCTGCGTGCATTTGGAAAACACACTCAACCTGGAAAAAGTGCAGTGGACTGTTGCTTTGTTGATGCGTTGCTGACGCGGTGCTTGTAGACTCTTCGGTGACTCAGCATCTCCAAAACTAGAGAGCTCTCAGACTTAGGGCATGTGTCCTGCCCTGTTTCTACTTGTCACCTTGCTCCCAAATACAGTATCAACATCACCGGACATGTGGCAGGCATCTTGTTGCGACTTGTTGTTCCAGTGCAGCAATGCGCACACAACATGTGCGGCTCCGCGAATATTGGAAATGGACCGATGACATTCCTCATCTTTTTGCGCCATTGCTGAGAATGGTTTTGGAATTGTTTCTTCATCTTTTGGTGCCAAGAGTCTATATACAGCAACTTGATGAAATACAAAGGTCATGCTCGGCATCGGCGGCTTGTTGCTTATTGAACATGCTGCTGGATGTTTTGGGCTGTCAGCGTGTTGGTCCTTTGGTTTGCTTTCGACCGCGTGCTCACAAATGCTAGTTACTGGCTGCCAAAGGTTTCAAACCTCGGTCTCCGGGCAAGTACCTGTACTTCTGAAAATGCTCCATCTCAACTGCCCAGCCACTGACGCAAATCCAAGTCGATCAAGGGCGACGCGGTGACGATTGGAAGCTGCACAGATCGGCGCACCCCTCCCTCACACAAAACACACAACATAAGACATAAGTATGTTTGTCATCGAGCGCGAGGGATATCAAGGTTGCAAGCCAGCGGAAAGCAATGCATGACTGCAGGTGTAAACAGGATTCAAGTCATAGATGGCAAGAGCAGCGACGGAGCGGCGAACTCCAGCTTTGGCAACCTTGCATGGCATCGCCTCTGAAGGCTTTTGCCATTGGAAAAGCCCTGGGCAAGGCGCAAGAGAGAGCGCAACAGAGAGTGCAAGGGAGCAAACAAAGCGCTGCCTCTTGCGCTCAGTTTGGTATGCGTAGCCTGCAATACTCTTGGTGCCGATCTTTTGACTAAGCACGCGTCTAGCAAGCGGCCCGATACCAATGTTATCGGATTGAAAGCAGCGGCTAATTGCAAATTCCATCGCCAAATTGTTGAACAGTCGCACTGCAACAGGGTGATCCCCTGCCTAGGAGCTCCAAGTAGGCAGAGAAAGCTTGTGGCCAGTTTTTCACAGCCACCGTAGACATCAACAGACTTTCCCGGTGGCGGCTATGAGACTTGCGGGGATGCACGCACGGATTGGGGGCCGATTTCAAGATTTGGGGCGACGTTTCGCTTGGCGCTGCACTTCGACCGTCATCTGAAACAAGTCAAGCGTCAGTGCCAGTGATTGATGCATCGGAGCAACAGCCTTCCTCTCGGTCGTTCATCTCCCGCTGGTTGAGATGACAATTGGAAAGCGCTGAATTATGCCCGCGAGTGAGTAGCAAACGCGACCGACCAAAGACTGCGCGCTCTTGCTCGAGGCACAGTTCCGTCGTCTAATAAAATCGCCACTTAAACATGCCAAAGCAACAGGCTGCGGAATATGTGTGGCTACGTCGACAATCGGCAAAGGCTAAAGGGTTCTGTAACATCGAATCATGCGCTCTACACACTAGCAAGCAAGAAAACGTTGGGAATATAGCTGTGGCACACACACACACTCACACATATGCGCTCTGTTTGAGGCGTAGGCCAGTCGTTGCCAAGAGTCTTCAGTCGTTGTGAATGGTCTATCCGGGCCTCCGGTTGCTTGGGACGCATCACGACCATCGTGCTCCTCCCAATGCCTGAAAGCCAGCAGGGCGCGAAAGTCCTTCTTCCAGCAGCCACTGCAAAAGCTGCCGCTGTTCAGCATCTGCCTACAGCAAGTCTTCGCATCGCTTCTCAATGAAAAGTATCAGCATTGCGCACGGCAGCAATGGCACCTCACAGAAATGCCGCAGCCAGTGCTCTCTGCCTCGGTCCATTGAGCAGGTTCAGGAGAATCTCTCCTCCTTCACTGAGCTCCTCAGGTTTTAAGGGCCTAACACATGTCCATTTGCTTCCGAAATTCTTGCTTGACTTTGGCATCCGAAGGCAGCGCCATGGCGGCAACAGATCTCACCGTTTTCGCCCTGAGATCCATGGCCTCGTTGCTTCAATAAATCACGACCCACAGGTCACGAGGAATGAATTGGACATGTTAAGTGGCAGAGTCATAGCACATTCAAGCTAGCAGGCATAGTCAATTATGTCAAGCTAAAAACAAGACGTAAGTATGGGCTGAATTCAAATCAAAAAAAAAATGAGCTAATCAAACTCGATAATTCATACATTCATCTGCAATCCACAGTTTGACTGCGGCTTTGCAAAAGGCCCGTTATCGAGAAATGCATTCCATCTTCGGATTGGCTGCCCTGCCCACATGATTGCTCTCAGTTGCCCTGTGAGTTCGTCTTGCACTTCCTTGCTTGAGACGAAAAACCATGTGAACAGAAACAGATGTACCCAAGCAACAAACTCCACATGCATCTCAATGTAGGGATGCAAACAGGGCTGGAAAACATAGAATCCAAGATGGCACTGCAACCAAACATGATCTGCAAGTGCAACCCATACTCTATGCCACCACTGGCAACATGTCACCACGCCAAATTTGTTCTCTCCCGCTAACCACGGCACTGAGGCCTCTCCGCTTCGAACATCACTCACTTTACGGACAAACCCGCATGCAAGTGTCTAAACAAATGTGTGCCTTTTCCTTCGGCAAGTCTTTTGTGCGTTGGCAGGCCGAGACCACGGAAAGCTGGTTTTGGTTTACGAGAAGCCTATTTATGCAGCAAAAAGGTAAAGTCTAAAAAGCTAAATGCTTAGCTTTTGTTTGTCTAAAAACATAAACGCAATTTCAGCTCGATGGCTCAAATGAGCCTGCCTCAGACCAACAATTTTGTGGGCTAACATTGGCTCCCTCGGCTGAACTTCCCAAGTATCCAACATATGCCGGTGCAAGCCACACTAAGAGCTAGAGAATTGCTCTGGAAAGGGATTGGGGTGGATTTGATTTTTCGGTTGAGTTCCGTTGCTGCCGTCGGGTTGGTTTGGGGTGGGAAGGGGTAAAGCTGGGATTCTGCTGGGCTCAAAGTTGTTTTGGGGTCGGTTGAGGATGTTAACCGACCGACCCTAAGACGAAATGGGCAGAACGTTCGCCTGGCACGAGACAAAGCACAATGAAGCGTTAGCACACAGCACTCCGTGTTTGGAATTAACAAGTTTGCACATGAGCGCATTTGTCCTATTTGTTCAGCGTGACTTGGTGTTTGCGAAACAGCGTGCACTTTTCACATCTGAAAAGCTCTGGACTAGACAAGCATCACTGCTGGGTAGGTACTGAACAGCTGCAAAAAGAACAACATGGGTAACGTGAGACCAGGCAGTAAGCCCAAGAGAACAGCCTAGAAGCCAAGAGGTGTCATACGTTTCCGACATACACAGAGACAAAATATCCCAACCCCCAAAGCAAAACAGGGCGGTCCGATGTCAGTCTTTGCTTTCGGCAGTTTTGTTTTGGCAGGACCTGGTGTTTGCAAAACACGCTCAAACACATCAAACTTGGGGAACGTAAGCAACAAATCAACTAGACAGACCCAAAAGTGAGCAAAACGAAAACAACAAGTTAAAGAGATTCTCTGCAGCGTTTTGAAAATAGACAGGACATCCCAAACCCTAAGGAAAAACTCCAAACTTGTGTTCGGTGTTTCACATCTGAGCATCAATGAATCTGCTTCCCGTTTTTGCATCCAAAACGTCTACACCAGTTTTTCAGGTCTTGTTTGCAAAACGGTCCCCCGTTTTGCACGCAAAACAGTCCCCAGTTTTGCTTCTAAAACCCAAAAACGGTCCCCAGGTTTGCATTTCAGCTGCACCCAAAACAGTCCCCATTTTGGCCCACCTTCTTTTGCATCCAAATGGAGCTGGAAGTATGAGAACATGCAGGGAACAGAAACGGGTGGCGCATATAAATCCACATCCGAGAGGTTGACAAAATGACACTGGTTTTCCAAAAGAAGCCCCCCCCACCCCTTTTAGTCAACCCCTAATCCCACTGATGTTCAGCACTTCAGCTGGAAAAGCCGATCAAACGGCAAATTTTGGCCCACCTCAGCTGTAGCCAAAACAGTGCCCATTGTGGACCAGCTCCAAACAGTCCCCAGTTTTGCATCCAAAACGGTCCCCGTTTTGCCCACAACCAGATACCAGTTTCGCATGCATCCAAAACGGTGCCCAGTTTTGTATCCAAATTTGAACCCACCTCAGCTGAGCCAAAACAGTCGTATTTTGCCACCTTGGCTGCATCCACCTTGCCATAAATGGTCCCCAGTTTTGCATCCAAAAACGATCCCCAGTTTTGCGGCCACATTTTGGCCCACCTCCGCTGGAGCCAAAACAGCCCCCATTTTGGCCCACCTACCTTGGCTGCAAACGGTCCCCAATTTTGCATCCAAAATCCATTTTTCCCCCCTTGGCTGCATCCACCTTAGTCTCCAATTCTGTGAACGGCCCCATTTTTTCATCCAAACCACCAGTTTTGCGCCCCCCCAGGTCCTTCAGGCGCGTGAACTATGACGGGTTACGTATGCGCATTGAAGAGGGGGTGATGTTTGTCATTCTGGAAGGCTATAAGCGCTTGCTCAAAGGCAACCGCCGCCCATCGAACAACCGGAGGCTGGCAGAATTGCAGATCCTCATTCAACAAAGTTAAAAACCTGTTCACTGCTTCAAGTCTAGAACATACATGCAAGAAAATGCAATAAAAAACAAAAAATGACCGATGCAGGAGAAAGCTCAACTTTCCTTTTTCTGGCGTTGCTCAGAGGTGCAGGCTCCAGGATGAAGATAAGCCAACATGCGTGTTCCACTTATGCATACTGAATCCCATACGGAACCTGAGGATCTACCTTGTCAGAGCATGTTGAGAGATGCTTCCCATTCCCGCAGCAATGCCAGGTTAGGCTCCATGTTATACTGGGCATGGAGCGAAACTTGGGGCTAGCCAGCAATGCGGAGAAAGGCTGAATGATAGCGAGGCCAGCCATGCAGTAGGTGGCCAAATTGCGTCCGCAATTCTCCAGCATGCCATCGATGTTCAACACGGGTGTGATCAATGAAGTACACCATGAGCAAGTGCACGCGTACAAGACCAATCGTCATGCAACGCACCCCCAACCAAGAATGTTCAGGGTTAAAGGCCTGTGCACTGCTCCCAGCCTACACTCCCAAGAAACTCTCATGAAAAACAGCTCATGCAGTCGCGCTCATTTTGTCCTCGCGCTGCTACGTGCAGGCGAAAGACAAGCGTCTTTGCTGGGGCAGGGCATACAGTCGCGGTTGTTAGTCTTTGTAAGGCGAAAAAAAAACTGCAAAACGAGCGCGTCATGTTTGAAAGGGAAAGGCATGACAAGCGTGTCAACGCTAAACCAAGAAGTTGCAGCCGCAGCTGTCAAGAAAAAAGGTTGGGAAGGACCAGGACAGCGAGTCCTTGTGTGTGAGTTAAGGCGACCAACGTGGCTGAAGCTGCGCGCTGCTCCTAGCCTACCCTCATGAAACACAACTCACGCAGTTTGCCTGTTTTTTCCTTGCATAAATTGGCAAAAACCGGAGTTTTCGGCCTTCAACTTTTACGCTTTTCTTCTTGCAGTTTCCCTTGTTTGTTTTCTTGATTTTCTCTTCGTTCTTCCTTGCTGTTTTTCTCTCTTTCTTGTGTCTTCCGCGCCAACTTCCCATCTTTGCTGGGGATAACTGCGAGCTCGACGGTAAGCAGGCATACTACCACTGAGTTCTAACAACTGCGTGGATGGCCTGTCCCCCTTTCAGTGCGCAGGTTGCAAGGCTGAAGCAAAGGAATTGGTAGGCTGGCAAGTGGCTGCTCAGGCTGGAAGCGAAATTCAGCCCGCCCTGCGCACAAATGGGGGAGAACTGGCTTGCAGTTGTTAGTGACCTCTGGTGGCTTGAGGTCTACAAGGGTGTAAGACCTTGGAAGAAAAAACTTCATTTTGGGGAACCCTTTTTTCTCACCCTTTTTTTTCTCACCCTCCAAACCTTTTTTTTCAACCCTTCCCTGTTTTTTCAACCCTTAATCCTTTCTATTTAACCCTCCCCCCCGTTTTTTTAAAACCTCCCCCCTTCTTTTTTAACCCTCCCCCCCCTTTCTTTCTGACCCTCCACCTCTTCCTTTTAACCCTCCATTTCTTTTTTGCCAACCCTGTGGCCGAAGTTTGCGGCAACTGCACTAAGCAACGGTCCAGTTAGGAGCGGTTTTGGATTTAGGGTTTGTTTAGGGTGGGGGGGGCGGTAGGTGGGTTTAGGGTTGGTTTCGGATGTGAAGGGTGGATTTAAGGGTTTAGAGGCGGGGTATTGTTGAGCAAGTTTGTGGTCGGTTTAAGTTTAAGGTTGGTTTCGAGCAGGTCTGTGCTGGGTATATGGTGGGTTTAAAGTTGGATGAGGGGTGGGTTTTGGGCTTGGAGACTGGGTCGACAGTGGGTTTATGATTGGATACGGCTGGTTTAGGATGAGAATGGGTTTAGGGTGACAGGCTGTACTCCAGACCACCTAAACCAAACACAAACCCACCGAAATCCTGCTCTAAATCTACCTAATCCAACTCTACACCCAAAAGCCGACCCCAAACCCACCTCAAACAGATTCTAAGCCAACACTAAATCCACCCTAAATCCACCCTGAAGCCTTTCGACGCACGCCCTAATCCCACCCTAGGGTTGGTGTAGGGTTGGTTCAGGGCGGGTTTATGGTTTGTCTATGTCTAGGGTGGAGTTGATTTCAGGGGGGCTTAGGGTGTTTAAGGGTATGTTGTTCGTTTGTTTTGGGTTGGATATAGGTTGGTTCAGGGTTGGCCTGGGATGGTTTAGGGCGGGGTTTGGGGTTGGTTTAGGCTTGGATGTGGATTGGTTTTGCCGGCTGGCCTAGGGTTGGCTGGATTTAGGGTTGGGTCAAGCTCAGCTTAGAGTCTCAGGGTGCGCATGGTTGGTACAGGGTGGGCTTATGGTTGGTTTAAGGTTGCTTTGGAGTGGCTCAGGGTTGGTTAGGGTTGGTGTCGGGCTAGGTTGGTTTTGAGTTTCAGGAC